CTGGACTTGGCAACAAGGGCTATTTTTTGTGCTCCATTAGCCAACGAGGAGCACGAGGTTTCGAACGAGCTGCCATGGTCAAGCGTCAAGACTGACAGCAAGGGAAACTGAAGTGCTGCTCAGCGTTTGATGAGATCTCATGTCCCAAATTAGCCTCGACTCGCTTTGAAGCCGGGGCTGCCTGAGACTCTTTAGGGTTCAACTGCAACGCGAGAGGCATCCCGGGGTGTAATAGCAGGAGCCAATCACAGTTCTGAGTTGATGAGAAAATGATAGATTCAGTGTTGATAACATAATAATTATCTACTCCTGCTAAACACCATCAAAAAGGGCTTTTTACACGAAGCACTTCCTGTTATGTTACAGCACGGCTGAAGAGCGAACAGCTGCTCCGAACAGAGAGCTGTTAAACGACTGATGCTGCAAAGAGTCGGAAATTGTTCTTGCCTAAATAAAATCAGGAGAAAATCTCAAACACAATCAAAAACGGAGTTGGGAAATAAAAACGGGAACGCCTGAAAAGCAAACTGGGACAGTTTTATAAACTAAACTAAATCATTTTATAAACCATGTGTTTTTCTGCTACAGGATGGAGAACAGCACCACATAAAAACACGCGGTTCGTAGTTCAGCGTATCGTCGCGGCGTCGCGTTTCGTTCCACGTCGGCCGGCAACACACCATCTAACATGAATCCTTTCTGGCCGAAGCTGCACTGGTTCCTCCGAGTGGCTCATTTGTCACCCCGAGGACGAGTTGTGCGCAGCTTGAGGTCAAAGGTCAGATGATGTCACTGAGGAACGTGCACATGACACGAGCCTGAAAGCTCCAGCAGAAGACGAATGTGCCACGTCTGTGATGCGTGTCATCACTCATTGGTTTCATTGTGTGCCCTCAGCTCTGAAGTGTGATTTGTTACTCTTATGACACACCATCACGCGCTAAATGTGTCTTTTCAGTTGCAGCTCCAAGCTAATCTTTAGCTCTGCAGGCAAATGGTTGCTCCTGCTGAGAGGAGAGTGGAAATACTTCATATCTTGGGGGGGGGGGGGGGGGGGGTCTAGGTCAGCCTTGATATTAGCTCCTTGGTTTCACACAGCTGTACTCCACCTCCTCTGAGACGTACTGGACTGATGGTTCCTGCGGTTCTCCCAAGGGATGGAGGGCCGTTTATCAGCCACCACAGGAACACGTATCGACGTGCAACATGGCGTGGGGATTCCGCTTTTATTACACTTCAAACTGCAAGGTCAACTCGGCAGGAATCCGTGTCGAAGCTGTCGAGCAAAGAAACATGAAACAAATCGCCCACGTCGAGGATGCAGGGTAACGCGTCGAGATAAGGGCCGCACGTCCCGCTACGGGAGCTGTGGTTTCTGTTTACACATCTGCAACCAGCTGATTGAATCCACAACTTAATTATGAATTTGAGAGAAAACTGTTATTGCATGACCACACATCCATTTATTTGAGGACACAACGTGCTCTCGATCCCCTCCGCATCCTTTTGTGGAAGGCCACTTGAACAAAAAGTCAAAGCAACTCTTTCCACTTTCTCCCAGCAGGCATTTGGAGAGGCCGCGTTGTGAAGCTCCAGCCCTTGTGACAGTGTGATGTAGTTCGTACTGTCATGCCTTTGATGCCATCGTACGCCACTCCTTCTCTCTTCTCCGCGCTCCCTGACAGTGACAAAGGGGATCGGCGGCAGCGTGTTATCAGTGTGCAGCTGCAGTAATCGTATTATTTAGTAAGCTTAATTCTGAGAGGCTGACCAACACTGTGAACAAAGCGGGGCCTCTCTAAATCCATCAGAGTGCTCCCATGGAGCAGAGGTCTTTTCCTGCCTTGCAGCCTCTCTAGAGCCATGCTCTCCCATTTTCCTCGCTGTTTCTCCCCCCCTCCCCCCCTCCCCGCATCCTCCTCTCTGTTGCTCTCACCTCACACTCTGCCTCGTCTCTCGTTCTGCTTCTATTTCCAGAATGATTTTTACTCCCATTTCAGTTTTTTTTATATACCCTTTCAAATCTCTTTTCCTTGAAACGCTCTGAGTTGGGAGCTGGTATGATGGCGTTATTCACAGTTCATTGGTCTGTTTGAAGGTACAATCTTGATTGAGCGTCAAATGATGCAAGGCCTGGTGACTGTACAAGTGTGTTAAAATGTGAATGTGCCCATGGAAATAGATGAGCGTACTAATACGCAGGACATTGAAGGGACTGGGGCTCGGAGAAGAGCTTCATCCAAGCAACTCATTTGGGGATAAAAGGGGTTGGAAAGGATATGCAGACAGAGTGTAATGCTCGGGGCATTGGATGTGAAATGGAGGCAACAAAGAACTAGTCAGGGAATCAAAGTCATTCTCAGTAGCTGATCCACTCCATTCAGTTTCCGACCTCATCCAGTTTTCAGTCCACTAAGACTCAAATGATTCAAGTTACTCGAATAACTCGATTGGAAAGGAATCTGATGCAAAGTCTTTGGTTTGATGGCAATCCACTTGGCACTGACGGTGGTCACTGTGCTGCACAAGGACAAATATCATCCAGCAGCAGGCCTGTGCTGCCTTATGATGGGGGAAGGCAGAAAATAACAAAAAGAAGCTAAAATACCAAAGTCTGAAGCCATTACTGACAAAAGGAAGCTAAAATACAGCACACTGTGTCTTTGGAAAGCAAAACAGCTTGTCACAATATGTCGACACCTTTGTAGATTTTGTAACTATATTTTTATCTAAGGCCATGTCCACGCGTAGCGAGGGTTTTTGTAAAACTGAATGTCCTCCCCCGCCCATCTAGGGAAAAACTTTGGTCCACGCTACCTTGTTTTCAGTAAAAAAAAAAAAAAAAAGTCAATGCATTGTGAAAGCACATTCATAGGCCTGCCAAGCCCGTAGGTGGCAGTCATTCCCTAAATCTCTTTAGTCTTGGCTGAAAAACATTCGTTTAACTAGGTGGTGGGCAATAACTGTCTTTAACCTTGTCCTTGGTGGTCCTTGGTCATCCTTGGTGGTTCTTGGTGATCGTTGGTGGTCCTTGGTCATTGTTGGTGGTCCTTGGTGGTTCTTGGTCATCCTTGGTGGTCCTTGGTGATCGTTGGTGGTCCTTGGTCATTGTTGGTGGTCCTTGGTGGTTCTTGGTCATCCTTGGTGGTCCTTGGTGATTCTTTGGTGGTTCTTGGTCATCCTTGGTGGTCTTTGGTGGTCCTTGGTCATTGTTGGTGGTCCTTTGTGATCCTTGGTGGTCCTTGGTTATCCTTGGTCGTCCTTGGTGGTCGTTGGCCTGAAAAACGAATGTTTTTCACCTCTCTCAGTGCGCCCCAGGGCAGCTGTGGCTACATCGTAGCTCATCACCATCAGTGTGTGAATGTGTGTGTGAATGGATGAATGATACACTGTAGTGTAAAGCGCTTTGGAGTCCTTACTCTGAGAGGCGCTATACAAGTGTGGGTCATTTATCATTTATCATTTGGTGATTCTTTGGTGGTCCTTGGTCATTGTTGGTGGTCGTTGGTGGTCTTTGGTCGTCCTTGGTCATCCATGGTGGTCCTTGGTGATACTTGGTGGTCCTTGGTCCTGTGGTCTTCTAGAGCAGTTATTGAGCTTGTAAAACCAAGAGAGTGTAAACACAGGTGACATATGTGATGTTAAGGTATTTTTTGTTGTGGACAGTGACGATGCAAAACCCCAATTATTCACACCCACAAGCAAATGCTGACAATGGAGAATTCTCAAATCTCCACTTTGGTTGGAGTTTCGTTTTGTGCATAACCATAGCCATAACTACATGTGTACACAGCCTAAGACCAACCTTGTCTTCACAATGAGACCCACGCATATTCACGGTCCCGAACCAAACATTGTGCACAAACTGAAGCAAGGGGTTGTGAAACATCAAACCAAGGTCAAGAAACGTGTCTAGAGACTCTTTTAGGCAACAATTCACAAAATGGATGGGAAGGAAATGAAGTCCTGTTTGACCAACAAGACAAGTCACCGTAAAAGAAAATAACGAGATGTTCGGCCTTCTGCGTTTCCAGCATTGAGCTCATAAAATACCTCGACTGTAAGGATTAACTCTGCTGCTTTGACACTGACTCACTGTCAAAGAAATGTTTCCAGGAGAACTCAGACAAAAGATTTCTGGATTATCAAAGGAGAAGTTGTTCAGGCAGGACAAAAACAGCTTCAAAATCTTCCATTCCACTCATGTCAGAGACTTCAGCACCTCGTAACAACGAAAACAAGCGCTCGTAACAAGATGTCACAAACATTTTGACATCTCATCCTTTGGCAGACGTGTGCAAAGTTCAGGCACCTGTTGGATTTCTTTAATGGGAGAGTTTCTTGTAAGTAATAATATACCGAACGATTGTTTTTCATCATCTATTGGCAAATCAGTGTGACGGCGGTGTAGAGAAGGCTGGGTTTAGCGCACGCATAAATCATTAAATCAGATGTTTGAAAGGATAATAAAACACCCAGCAGCAGCAGCAGCAGCAGCAATATCTCATCATACATTCAAATATCCTGACACAAAATCAAAGAAATAAACATGTTCCAAGATACAAAAAAGACTATTAATTAGTTGAAATTAACCTTGGGACCTGTATGTACCAGTGCACTGACAAATGCCCACTCACCCGGTGGGAAAAACACCTCGTACATCTCATTCTGACACTCTGACTCTGTTGCAAGCTTGGCTCTGAGATCAAAATCTTTGAATTTGGCACACACACACACACACACACACACACACACACACACACACACACACACACACACACACACACACACACACACACACACACACACACACACTGAGTGTGCCTGGAAGAGGAAGCAGGGGAAAGCAAATCTGCTGTGAAGGAACCACATAAAACCAACGCTGCAGTAAGACAGACCACTTCTGTGCCTCAGACAGGATGGGCTTAATACATGTTAATGACCTGTAGCGTGCATGTGAAGACATACGTGCACAGATGGATAAACAGCCTCTTACTTACAGAATGAATCAGCCGGAATCAGAAGGGCCGTGCCATATTACAGCTGGAGCAGTGAGTCAACCGGGACGCCGAAATCTGAGACCACAGAGTTCTAGCGCCTCAGCCAATAGGAGGGGGGATCAGAGGAGTTTTCACTGTGTCACTAGAGGTGAGGCCACCCAAAGGGAGTGTGGAGGAATCCAGTGTTCATAACAAATCACAGGGAGGGAAAAAAATACATCCTAATCCAACAGATAAAAGGAGAGGTTCAGTTCTGTGTGCAGAACTGGACGAGGAATTGATCGTGTGGGCGTTTTTCTTCTTCCTCTCCTTCACTTAAAAAACAGAACAAGATGGCATCTTGACCGAAAAAGAAAAGCAGGACCTGAAAAACGAGTCAATGAAAAAGGGCTCCATCTTTTCTCTTTCTCTGCTTTTCTTGTGCACTGCAGAGGGCTTACAGGAGGAGCAACACCAGCATCAGAAAATCAATTCCCGTGCCGCACGTCGAGAAAACGTAAAGGAGTAAATGACAAGCAGATGAAGGGGGGGGGGGGATTTTTGACACCTGCTCTCTCCCTCTCCGTTTCTCTGTCTGCCTCTCGGTCTTCCTTCCTCCCTCCAACCTGTATTTCCTCTCCAGTAACAGCTCCCCGCCCTCGTATCTCGTGTTTCGGTAGACGGCTTCGTAGCACTTCTGACTTGGATGCAGAAGAAGTGAAACTCGTCGTGTTTTTTTTTTACTTCCTCCTGTCTGCTTTCTCTAAACGCTGCGTAGAATGACAATGAGTTGCCCTGATGTGTTCTACGCCGAAGCTGGATTGTCTGCTCGGCTTTTGGCCTGACACCTTGGCTGTGCACCTGCCGTCGTCTGCGTCTAACTTCCTGCCTCCGAGCTCGTCTGTCATTCGTTACAGCTGCCTGTTTACCAGGGATTCTTAAAGACGAAGGCGCAGACAGGACGTAGCCTTCACCTTCGGCTCAAGCACCCCCTCTGGCTGAAATCCTGAACCCTCCCCAGCCCATGGCCTTCACTTCCCTGTAGACGATTCACACTAGGACCAACAATCCTCGGCTTTTCCCTTTTTGCTCTTCTGTCTCTCCGCGTGTCTTCGTTTTTTAACCTGTTTCTCTGTTTTATGTGTTTTATTCTCGCTCTCCCTCTCCTCAACCCGAGTCTCCTGCTCGTTATCTATTCTGGACAGTCTGTCCCTCTTCTCTCGCCGTCACTGAGGGAGGATGAAGAAGAATGGTGCTGCTTCATAATGTATTTCTCTGCAATGTGAGAGAAAGATGGTGAAAAAGGAGAGAAGGGGGGATCTCAGATGAGAATAGGATTTAGAAAGTGATCGTTTAAATAGAAAAAAGAAAAAAACAAACATTTGACAAGGTTGTGTCTCAGCTAGGAGGGGTTCAGTTACTCGCCTTTGCCCACCAATCTGGGTCCAGCTCTGGCGTGTGCACCAAAACGTCCGAAGGGAATATCCAGCTGATAAATCCATGCATGTCCAAAAGCTCCATGCCACTGCTCAAGCATCACCGCAGCCCTTTTCATTTCAGATGAAGTTCAAGAAGCTCAGCGCATCGACTGCCTTGTTGGGTTTCAGCTCCTCCGAGACCTGTCCTCTGCTTATCTCAGCGTTCTGCAGACGGATCCGACCTCAACTCATCTGTCTCAGCCCTCGCTGGAAAGGCTGGAGCTGATGGCTGGAGATGGTGGAGGCGGTTAGGTGTGGAAAGCTTGGCCCTGGAGCTTCCACGCTGCCCATTTGGTGCCCATCACTGCAAGGCTTCAGATCTGGAAAGAGAGGAAGAAGAGAGGAAAAAAAAGAGTACAAGAGTAGAAGAGTGAGAGTGCATGAAAGGTTGGCATGGTGACGTCGTGTCACTCTGCCTCATCACTTATGCCGTTCTCCCGCCTGTCACACTCCACCCTTCCTGTCGTCCTGCTGTCCATTACGCCCTTGCCACTCTTTCACTGACTTTGCCGCCTGTTTGCTTTTCAGTCCACTCCAAATGTTTGACCCTTTCACTTTACTAACAAGCTCATCTTCACACACACACACACACACACACACACACACACACACACACACTCCGACATCTCTCCTCTTTTTGCTTTATGCTATTTAACTTCCACACCTCTGCTGACTTCATTCAATCTTGTCTGCCGTCGATCCTGCAGGTTTCACCAACTGCATCAGGTGGACTTGGTGAAGACTCGAGCAGATGTGATCCTGGATTTCCTCCTCTCAGTCAACGTTATTTTATTTTAGTCTGATTGTGACCATGAGTGAGCGGTTTTGACACCAAACCTGCGTATTTTTAGGGGTCAGAAAGTCATTGCTGTTGCTACTGTTGGGTGTGAACTCGGTGACGGTGGTGAGAACTTCATGCTCCACACACGTGTCCTCTATGGAGCGTTGAGGCTCAAGACTCAAAAACCTTTTCTGCTTGCTGGTCCGACTTGTCTGAGCCACTGGTGTATTCTCATTTAAAGTACTATTTTGGGCAGCTGCCTTCATGTCTTCTGACCTACAATCTTAATAAAGAGTTCAGAAGGTCACAGTCGTTGGTCCCAGGATGTCTTATTGTTGTACTTTGAAGCTTTGGTGCTGTCATGAGATCAGCGGAAACGACAGTTAGGCTGACCCAAAAATGAAGGACCTGTTCTCTTGGGACTTTGGAGTGATGCTGGTACAAGTCTGTGTTTTATAACTTGTTCTGTATGGCTGTCGGTCTTTTCAGGTCACTGTTGGACAAATTAATTTGTATTTCAATAAAGTTGTCTTGAAACTCAGAGGAACACAAGAGAATAAACAATTTTAGCAATTATTATTATTATTATGAATTTATCACAATTATTTTATTTAAAAGCAAAACATCACCAGAAAACCTTTATTTTCACAATAATGATTTTTTTAAACTGTATTTTGCTTTTAATCTACAAGGGGAATGCTGTCAAAAACTTTCATTTTGTAATATCAAGCTTTTAATTTGTAATTGATACTTTTGTTTTGTAATATGAAACTTTTGTTTTGTAATACGATACTTTTGTTTTGAAATATGAAACTTATTTTGTAATATGATACTTTTGTTTTGGAATATGAAACTTTTATTTTGTAATTGATACTTTTGTTTTGTAATATGAAACTTTTGTTTTGTAATACGATACTTTTGTTTTGAAATATGAAACTTTTGTTTTGAAATATGAAACTTTTATTTTGTAATATGATACTTTTGTTTTGGAATATGATACTTTTGTTTTTGAATATGAAACTTTTGTTTTGGAATATGAAACTTTTATTTTGTATTATGATACTTTTGTTTTGGAATATGAAACTTTTATTTTGTAATATGATGCTTTTGTTTTGGAATATGAAACTTTTATTTTGTAATATGATGCTTTTGTTTTGGAATATGAAACTTTTATTTTGTAATATGATGCTTTTGTTTTGTAATGTGAAACTTTTATTTTGTAATATGATACTTTTGTTTTGGAATATGAAACTTTTATTTTGTAATATGATACGTTTATTTTGTATTATGATACTTTTGTTTTGGAATATGAAACTTTTATTTTGTATTATGATACTTTTGTTTTGGAATATGAAACTTTTATTTTGTATTATGATACTTTTGTTTTGGAATATGAAACTTTTATTTTGTAATATGATGCTTTTGTTTTGGAATATGAAACTTTTATTTTGTAATATGATGCTTTTGTTTTGTAATGTGAAACTTTTATTTTGTATTATGATACTTTTGTTTTGGAATATGAAACTTTTATTTTGTAATATGAAACTGACTTTTTAACATTTAACTTTGTTTTGTAACATGGTAAATGGTAAACGGCTTGTATTTGATATAGCGCCTTCTAGAGTCCTGGAACCCTCCAAGGTGCTTTACAACACAATCAGTCATTCACCCATTCACACACACATTCACACACTGGTGGGGATGATCTACGATGTAGCCACAGCTGCCCTGGGGCGCACTGACAGAGGTGAGGGGAGCTAAGTGTCCTTAATTTTAGTTGATTGGGGTCTTGTTTCATAACACACAGTGACATTTGAATAGTTTAGATTTGTGTAATGTTTTTTGTTTGTAATTCAGTCTGAGCCTTTAAATGGTCTCTCAGTCTAAGATGAATTACTGACATAAAAAGACTTTTACCAGGTAAGTTTTTGTGTGTTGGGTGTTCTTCTTAGCCTTTCTATTATTCATAATCTAGTAAAAGCATAACTATAAATAGGAATCCTTTAAAAAGTTCACTAGAACTAGTGTAACTAGGCACAAATCTGATCGAGGACTTAAACTTACTAACTTGGGTCAGACCCAAACGTAAAAGTTGGGTGGTAAAGACACACAGGTGGTTCTAGTAACACCTGAGCGGCCATGACGTCTGACACTGGTGCCATCAGTGTTACAGAAATGATCAGGAACACTGACTGGTTCCAGTTGGATGCCTGCAGGAGGATCTAGGAAGACTTTACAAACATCTGTTGAATTTTGCATTTTCTCAGTCCCTCAAACTGAGATCCAGGTAGACGGCTTTTTCAAACTTCACGGATCCTGGATTCCTGCTAGTCAACCCTGCCACCATTGGTTAAACAGACAAAGATAATTACCAACATCTAAAATTAGCAGCACAATGTGGAACCTTCTGCAACAGGTTGTCTCATCTCTGTTACTATGCAACAGTTTGCACCTGTTGAACACGTAATAAACAGCTTATTGAATTCTGACCAAACGGCTCACCGTTTTCAGAACGCATCTCTCCCGCTGATCCATACTTTTGTCATTTCTTTCTTGTACAAAATCATTAGAGGTAAATGACTCTTTCTTTTCTCCAGAGTACAATGAAGTGATGGTCCATTTGCAGGGAAGCATCTGAGTGTATTCAGTTTATCAGCTGCGGTCGATACGACTGTGTGGACAGACATGGCTCTCCTCTGACACCGTATTCTCTTAGGATCATTTAGGATCAGGAGGTTCGCTCACTCTCGGTGAGGTCAGAGCTCAGCGTTGGCCACGGCGTCCACATCCACCGCTGGCAACATTTGCCTGCTATGTTGTCACAGGTGTGAAAAGACGTGTGAATTGGTGTGCAGAAGGTATGTCAGCGTGAAGTGCAAATACAGAGGTGTGTGCAAAACCAGTGTGTGTGTGTGTGTGTGTGTGTGTGTGTGTGTGTGTGTGTGTGTGTGTGTGTGTGTGTGTGTGTGTGTGTGTGTGTGTGTGTGTGTGTGTGTGTGTGTGTGTTCAAAGTGTCACATCTGTCACGCCTGAGGCAATTAATTACACTGATCTACTTCATAACCTTTTGTTAGTCCAGGCACACACACACACTAGAAAACACAGTTTCAGAAAGCAAAGAAACTGCAGTTCTTTCACTTACACACAACACACACACACACGCGCACGCACATGCACACGCACACACACACACACACACACACACACACACATCCATCTCCAATGATTGCTTGTGTCAGGATAGACTCCAATATATTTGGTGAGGCTGAATTCAAACAGAATCTGGTGAAGAGCTTGAAGGGGATGGAGGCTGGGGGGGGGGGGGGGGGGGGGGGGAGTTGTGACACAGCCGAAGAGGGGAGGAGAAGGAGGAAGAGAGGGAAAGAAGGGAATGCGGAAGGCAGGAAAATGAAGAGAGCCATTCTGATTTCATCCAAATTCATCAAACTGGACAGTTCTGTGTATGTCACGGTTGAGGAGCGCAGGGTGGGAGGCAGGAGGATGGATGGAGGGAAACAGGTGGGGCAGTGGCAGGGAGGTGGGCTGGATGGGGTGAGATGCAGGGAGAAGAATGGGAGCCCATCAGAAGTGAACACACTCTAATCATGAGTAAAAAAAAAAAAAGACGAGTCAGCCGGCGAGATGTAAGACACATGAAAATGAGAGATGAAAGAGGAAGAGGAGGAGGAGGAGAGACACGGACACTCACCCATTTCAGCGGGCTCTCCACAGGCAAGCACAATCCCTGCTCTGTGATCCCATCCTGGGGAAAGGCGCAGTGAGATCCTGGAGCTCCCTCCGCTGAATACCAATGGAGCTGCTATTATCAGCTCACACACACTGACTCACTCACTCACTCACTCACTCACTCACTCACTCACACACACACACACACACCGGCACTGAGGAGGAGAAGGCACAAACACACACATGGAGTCAAGTCTGAGCTAGTTGTTTCAAACAGAAGAAATACAACAGAAGCTGGTTATTGCTGCACACACACACACGCACGCACGCGCACACACACACACACACACAGCCTTTAATAACACTTACTGAGCTTAAATTAAAAATCCCAGCGAGTCCTACAGTTGACTCTATTCCGTCTCACGGCTCCTCAGCTTCTACAACAGAGAAATGTGTTGTCCGCTATTTTCCTTCCCTCCCTGTGGATTCTTCACAGTGGTGTTTGATGCAGAGATAAAAGCTCATTAAGGCAGGCTCTTCATCATCTCTTGGTTTTCCTCCTCATGCGCAGCACACATCCAGTTTTCCTGCCTCCATGTGTTGATTTAGGTCCAATCCACCCGGCTGCCTGTGGACTTTGCTGTGATTCGGCGACACGCCACGGCAAAACGCATCCCCCTCCCCTCTGCCTCTCCCCATCGTCAATAGTATATCCTTGGCTCTCTCCAATCTAATCAGCTCTCGCTCTCTCTCTCTCTGTGCACACCCCCACTCTCTCTCTCTCTCCCTCGTTTCTCCTTCCCAGCACCCACTCATATACGCTCCCTCCGAGGTATTACTCTCAAAGATAAATCTCAGCATCCCTCGTCCTCTCTCCTCTCTGTCGTTTTGTCTGATAAACATTTGAAACAAGGGGAAAAGGCAGAAAACTGGGCATGAAGACAGACTTTTTCACATGATCTCACCCCAACAGGCAGAAAAGGGGGTTAAAAATCTCTGGGGTGTGCTTTAGCCAAGATAAACTAGCCTGACTGAGTGTGACATGGTTACTCGCTCTGGGTGACAAACACTATCACACCACCACATGACTCGCCTCCTACCTTATGATGCATGGCACACACTGACACACAAACATTCATGCCTCTGATGTGCATTCACAAATAGGCAAAGACAAATTTCATCAGAGACAAAAACGTGTAATCGTGTACTTTTGATGGTATTTTATCATTCTGAACCCAGGAACTTCAGGTTCATGGTCTAAACATGATACTTACTATAGTGAAGGGGGAGCCCAAGCACCGGGTCAGGGACCGCCACCAGACCACGGGTCATTCAGTATCAGGTTGCAGAAAAAGAATAAAATAGTTTTTATAGAGGAATGTAAAAATCTAATCAGATATTTTACAAAATAAGTCTGTAAAGAGTTTTATTTTGAAAAATTAATATATTATTTAATACACTGTGAGACAAAAATGAGAAATTCTGGATAATAATTAATACTGTGTCATGATTTATCATCAGAAATGATATTCTGGGCTGCATGGTGGCGCAGTGGTTAGCACTGTTGCCTCGCAGCACGAAGGTTGCAGGTTCAAAGCTCGGCTGCGGCCTTTCTGCGTGGAGTTGCGTATTCTCCCCATGCATGCGTGGATTTCCTCCAGGTACTCCGGTTTCCCCCACAGATCACAACATGCCCTATAGGTTATAAATTGTAAGTCGCTTTGGATAAAAGCGTCTGCCAAATAAATAAACATAAATATATAAATACAGATAATAATATATAATTGCGATTGTATGACATCACACAATATTTACCTCCCCTTGTGTGCACAGTGATTTATTAGATGATTTATGATGTCATCAAACACAATAAAGTGGAAAGAAAAAAAGATTTTTTGCACCAATAAATGCAGCTAAACCTGCAAGCTGCATTCAAAGATAGAATGCTTTATTAGGTCTTTCGTTGTAAAATCACAAGTTTCCCTGGGTCTATATATTATAGTGCAGGTGTAATTATTGTTTTTTATTATTTTTAGGTGTTGGCAACAAATAAAACTTTTTTTTACACATTTCATTACTTTCATTTCATTGTTAACCTCCTAGGACCTGTGCCCACACATCAGCTCCCTGCATTTAAAAATTGTATACGCTTCTATTTAGACCTTTTTGTTTTTATTTATAGATACTTGATATTGACTTTAATTTTAAAATATTTTATCTTTCTGTTTTAGGATATTTGACTGCATTTTTATTTAATTTTGTTTATAATGCATTTAATTTTTTGTAATTTGGTTTCCGTTAATGATGATTCTGTAATAGTTAGATATGGGTTTTTTTTTCTTTTTAAATCACACCAAATGAAATTTTGGGTCCCTAGAGGTTATAAATAAATAAATAATAATACACAGAAACATTTTTTTTGGGAGGCGCTACATGAAAAATCACCTAGTGATTTATTTTTTCGAGAGGCGCTAAAAAACAATTGTCTGATAAATTTTTTCTGGAGAGGCGCTATATGATAAATCATCCCGGTAATTGTTTTTGTTAAATAAATAAATAAATAAATAATACACAGAAACATAATTTTACTTACGCTATTGTTTTTTTACATTTTATTTTATTCTTGTGAATTGCCCCGTAATTTTTTTATTGGGAGGGGCTATATGAAACATCGCCTTGTGATTTATTTTTTCGAGAGGCGCTATATAAAAAAATTGCCCTGTTAATTTTTTCTGGAGAGGCGCTATATGATAAATCATCCCGGTAATGTTTTTGTTGAGAGGCGCTATATGCAAAATCGCCCAGTGATTTTTTTCTTGGGATGCGTTATATGAAAAATTGTCTCATAAATGTTTTCTCGAGAGACGCTATATGAAAAACCACCTGGCAATTTTTTTTGGGAGGCACTACAAGGAAAATCACCTAGTGATTTTTTTCTCGAGATGCGCTAAATAAAAAATTGTCTGATGAATTTTTTCTGGAGAGGCGCTATATGATAAATCATCCCAGTAATTTTTTTGTTAAATAAATAAATAATAATACAGAGAAATATAATTTTACTTACACTATTGTTTTTTTATACATTCTCTTTTATTCTTGTGAATTGCCCGTAACTTTTTTATTGGGAGGTGCTATATGAAAAATTTCCTTGTGATTTATTTTTTCGAGAGGCGCTATATAAAAAAAATTGCTCTGTTTATTTTTTCTGGAGAGGCGCTATATGATAAATCGTCCCGGTAATTTTTTTGTTGAGAGGCACTATATGCAAAATCGCCCAGTGATTTTTTTTCTTGGGATGCATTATATGAAAAATTGTCTCATAAATGTTTTCTCGAGAGGTGCTATATAAAAAACTGCCCGGTGATTTTTTTTTTGGGGGGAGGCGCTACATAAAAAATCACCTAGTGATTTTTTTTTTCTCGAGAGGCGCTAAATAAACAATTGTCTCATCAATTTTTTCTGGAGAGGCTTTCTATGATAAATCATCCCAGTAATTTTATGTTAAATAAATAAATAAATAATACACAGAAACATAATTTTACTTACGCTATTGTTTTTTAATATTTTCTTTTATTCTTGTGAATTGCCCCGTAATTTTTTTATTGGGAGGTGCTATATGAAAAAACGCCTTGTGATTTATTTTTTCGAGAGGCGCTATATAAAAAAATTACCCTGTTAATTTTTTCTGGAGAGGTGCTATACAGGTGCTGGCCAGTAAATTAGAATATCATCAAAAGGTTGAAAATATTTCAGTAATTCCATTCAAAACGTGAAACTTGTACATTATATTCATGCAATGCACACAGACCAATGTATTTCCGATGTTTATTACATTTAAATTTGATATTTATAGGTGACAACCAATGAAAACATCAAATCTGGTATCTCAGAAAATTAGAATATTCTAAAGGCCAATGAAAAAATGTTTGTTTCTCTAATGTTGGCCAACTGAAAAGAATGAACATGAAAAGAATGTGCATGTATAGCACTCAATACTTAGTCGGGGCTCCTTTTGCCTCAATAACTGCAGTAATGCGGCGTGGCATGGACTCGATCAGTCTGTGGCACTGCTCAGGTGTTATGAGAGCCCAGGCTGCTCTGATAGTCGTCTTCAGCTCCTCTGCATTGTTGGGTCTAGCGTATTGCATCCTCCGCTTCACAATACCCCATAGATTTTCTATGGGGTTAAGGTCAGGCGAGTTTGCTGGCCAATCAAGGACAGGGATACCATGGTCCTTGAACCAGGTGCTGGTGGTTTTGGCACTGTGTGCAGGTGCCAAGTCCTGTTGAAAGGTGAAGTCTGCATCCCCATAAAGTTGGTCAGCAGCAGGAAGCATGAAGTGCTCTAAAACTTCCTGGTAGACGGCTGCATTGACCCTGGACCTCAGGAAACAGAGTGGGCCAACACCGGCAGATGACATGGCACCCCACACCATCACTGACGGTGGAAACTTTACACTGGACCTCATGCAACGTGGATTCTGTGCTTCTCCGCTCTTCCTCCAGACTCTGGGTCCTTGATTTCCAAAGGAAATGCAGAACTTGCTTTCATCAGAAAACATAACTTTGGACCACTCAGCATCAGTCCAGTCCTTTTTGTCCTTGGCCCAGGCGAGACGCTTCTTGCGCTGTTTCTTGTTCAAGAGTGGCTTGACACACGGAATGCGACACCTGAATCCCATGTCTTTCATGAGTCTCCTCGTGGTGGTTCTTGAAGCGCTGACTCCAGCTGCAGTCCACTCTTTGTGGATCTCCCCCACATTTTTGAATGGGTTTGTCGTCACAATTCTCTGCAGGGTGCGGTTATCCCTAGAGCTTGTACACTTTTTTCTACCACATTTTTTCCGTCCCTTCGCCTGTCTGTTAATGTGCTTGGACACAGAGCTCTGCGAACAGCCAGCTTCTTTAGCAATCACCTTTTGTGTCTTGCCCTCCTTGTGCAAGGTGTCAATGATTGTCTTTTGGACAGCTGTTAAGTCAGAAGTCTTCCCCATGATTGTGGTGCCTTCAAAACAAGACTGAGGGACCTTTTAAAGGCCTTTGCAGGTGTTTTGAGTAAATCAGCTGATTAGAGTGGCAGCAGGTGTCTTCTATATTCAGCCTTTTCAGAATATTCTAATTTTTTGAGATACCAAATTTGGAGTTTTCATTAGTTGTCACTTATGAATATCAAATTTAAATGTAATGAACATTGGAAATACATTGGTCTGTGTGCATTGCATGAATATAATGTACATGTTTCACGTTTTGAATGGAATTACTGAAATATTTTCAACCTTTTGATGATATTCTAATTTACTGGCCAGCACCTGTATGATTAATCATCCCGGTAATTTTTTTGTTGAGAGGCGCTATATGCAAAATCGCTCAGTGAATTTTGTCTTGGGATGCGTTATATGAAAAATTGTCTCATAAATTTTTTCTCGAGAGGTGCTATATGAAAAACCGCCCGGCGAGTTTTTTCTTGGGAGGCGCTACATGAAAAATCACCTAGTGATTTTTTTTTTCTCGAGAGGTGCTAAATAAAAAATTGTCTCATAAATTTTTTTTGTTGAGAGGCGCTATATGGAAATTCTCCCTGTGATTTCTTGTTTGAGAGGCCTTATATGAAAAATCGCCCCGTGGTTTTTTTTCCACACAGTACACAATCCGGTCCCGCTTCCATGAGGGTTTGAGATGATTTAGATGGAGAAAAACGTCAGTTACCTTGGATCCCTCATAGTAAATTCTCTGAAAATACAGACTCTACACATCCGGTCATTAGGATGCTGGTCACCTGTGTTTAGATTGACGTTAGTGAAATAAATTTGTTGCAGGAGAAAGAGTGAAAATCACACTGCAAAAAGTTTAAAATCAAGAAAGTTTTGAATATTTCCACATCCTTCCGTAATATATAACAAGCATCACAGAAAATCATTAGTCCTCTCACCGGGGCATCCCAACACTTTTTGTGGACGACACCACTGAATGGAGATGACACCCTTCGCACTTTTAATAACGTTCAGATGAACAAGGCGCAGCTCGGCCTCAGCGTGAGCCCACTGTGAGCAGACAGCGGTCCCTACTGATGTCGCAGCTTTACTCACACATCATCAAACCCCTCAAGCACAAACCTCTGACTCCGTCCTCCCGTTCTCTGTTCCGTCCAGGCAGTTTTTGATAGG